AGAGTTCTAACAACTCTATTCAATTCTAATATTCTACAATTCGACTTCCACACTTTTTTCTTGTATAGTAAATATGTTTTAAGAGGCTATTGTAAATAATCTAAGACCCAGTTTTAAATATTAAAAAAATTATATATTAATCTCAAATTCAATTCTCTATAATAACTTGGATTATGAATCACAATTTAAAACATAAAATAAACACTTAAGAATTTGTTTAAGCACAAATAATTTAATAAATATATACACAATATTCACATTTTTAATTTAGACAAACAAAATCATTTCAGAAGAATAATGAGCAGATATATCCTTTCATCTTCGCCAGTTTTACCTTAACAAAGAGATAAAAATTTGCGCTAAGGCACTTCAAAAAGGCATCAATGTAAAGTAACATTTTGGTATATATTTGTACACTCATTCCAACTATTTTATATTACCAAATGCAAAGATACATTCAAAGGACGTTAACTGTTTGAATATCCAAAAAATAGAGACTCCACGAAAGTCATATTTAAACGCGAACCCATTAAATATTTACAATGTCACCAACATTAATGGGACATTTTACATAACAAAGTACAAGCAGGAAGTACGAGATACTTGAATGCTTGTAAGTATATGGTATGTTTTCATAAGGATATGTTACCTTGAATTATTAATCACTATTTATATGCCATATTAAGAACATAAAAAACGAATTTAAAATTGTAAAACAACAACAATAAATTTAAAAAAATGTAATTTTAACAAATTGCATAATATAAAATAAAAAGAAATTTTTTAGCAATACACTTGGAAATTAGATATGAATTAAATATGTACTCATATTTTAGTGAATGTAATCCATTTAAAGTATTTAAAATTTAATACGAAATATCGTTATTGCAACAGAAAGTTATATTGTAAATAATAAAATATAAGATTCAATATTTGTTTAAATCGTTTTAATTTAACATAATTTAATTAATCCATACCTTATTGTAGTATCGATTGCTGATGATATTATAAAAAATAAAATTTAAAAAAAATGTCAACGTTATTATATCAAATCCTTTCATAACGACAATGACATATTGATGAGCTATTTAATTGTGAAATGAAATATACAAATAATACTGATCTTTAGTCAAAAAGATCATACACATCATACGGAAGGAGGGTTGTACATGTTATATATGCTATATTAATCAGGATATAGATAGTCGCAATAATGACGATTTCGTTTAATTTGAGAATTACGTTTGAAATAATTACGTATTGATAGTAATACCCATATAAAATAATAATAACTACAACTTGCATAACATGTATTCTCTCCTCTACAATTATATGACATATAACACACCAAAACATCTGTTGTAACTGTGTCGAGGCTTGGCCAGAACTAGGCTAAAGTTTTTGGGACCGCCTTCTTTAACACACTCAGCGATATCTCCAGCATTAGCATTGATCAGACTCTCGCCTATATGAATGCTTCTGGCTGGTTCTAACTTGACTTTCTTGTACCCATTATTACGAGGATTTGTGGGTTCAGAACAGATTTTTTAGCTAATTGAGGAGGATTCGTTCACTTCATACTAACTAACTAACATGACATATAATGTAAAAAGTTTAAATATAAAAATGACTAAAAAAGACGAAATGTTAATAAGAATTAGAAAAATTTAGAATAAACGCATAATAAAATGTTTCGGGTGTAATGGAGCACTGTAGATAAAGAGCAGTTGGATCAAAACCACAATCGCATAAATATTTCTAGTGCTCTGTTAAAAGGTTTAAGTGATATAAAGTGGGCTTTTTAAATAGATTTCACTTCAAAGATCAAATAACAATCTTAGTACTTAAGTACTGGAAAAAAGAAAAAGGTGAATATAGCGCTATTAACTGGGACAGTCAGAGCTACTGTTTTTGCAATAAAAAGTGTATGCAACTAATTGGCTACTTTTAAAGAATCGAAACTTACTTTGTTTCACTAAGATAATGCGAATCGCGTTTCGAATTTATTAATTAAAATTGTTGGACTTGTTTGGAAAGTGTGTTAAGTTAAAAAGGGATTGAGCCAAATAAATAATACTAAAAAAATAAATAAAAAAAATTAAATTAGTGAATTTTTTTGAAATGCTGTGTCAACTTTTTGAATGAATTTTTTGACACATTCTTAATATTCAACAGTCACATTTTAATATTAAATATTTCAACAAAAACCTTAATAAATAAAATAATAATAAATCCTAGGTTGTCTTTACTACGGATGTCGATGATTTTTGCTAAAATTACAACAAACCTCGTAGAATATTTTGTACGTTCGCCAGCTGAACTTCTGAGATGGGATCACTGTAAGATTCCATTTGAATAGAAGAAATTGGTCAGCATTGCTTTGGTTGCTCAGACAAACAGTGGTCGCTTTAAAGAATTTGTTCAATGTTCTCTTCACTGAATAGTTTTTGAAGGCGTGCTCGATCATCGTCTTCAAGCTCCCTATGAGCGTAAGTCGTTCAAGATAATATTGAACATATAAAACTTTGTTTCACTTTGTGTATTTTATATTAGCCGTAATTTTTTCTTTCAGAGTTGTAAAAAAACAGCATTAAGTCTGGTTAAAACAAATTGGGGTTTCTTTTACAATATGCTTTTTTTGACACATGCATTTTTTTGTTTTATATGCAATATGAAATATGAAAATTGTAAACATCAAAAATTAATTTAAATAAAATAAAATAAAATGAATATTACAAAGGCAATGGTAGGCATTTTTTATCTCTTATATTTAAATTAACTTATTTATTTATTTGTTTGAATTTATTAGTAAATGAAATGCTCATGTAATCTTAACGGATGACTGGAATTTTGCAATATATTTCCAGTGAAGATTCACATTAGACTGATTTTTGAATTTGGCTGCACTGAAAAGGATATTTATAAAGGATATTTTAAATGTAAAGCATCTGAAATATTATTTTTCTTTTTATATTCATTTTTTAATTTACTCATTGTTTCACTCTGCAGGTCACCAAAAAACTTACCTTAAATACTTATGTTATACAAATATAATTAAAAAAGAATGAATGCATGTTTCTTAATTAGGTACCAGACATTCAAGATCCTTCAAATAAATAATAATATTTCTGCACCCATAAGTAAAAAAGGAGTGTAAAGTGAAACTTACCAAACAGTATCCTCAAAATGCAAATCGTCTAATGCTATGTACTTACAAAAAAAATATGTTTTCATCAAGTACATAAATTTCCATTTCGATACGTTATGTCAGTTGTAGACTTTTCGCCCTTTGAAAAGATGAAAACAAAAATTAAAAAAAGAAATAAAAAAATTTTATTTGCTAGAAGAAAAAAATATTATTTATTAGTTTTGTTCTGCATATAAAAACGAGAGGAAATAATAAAAAATATTGTAAAATAAAAATACAAAATTCATTTAAAAAAGTTTGAAACAATAAAACAAATTATTCAGATTTATGAAGGGTAAAATGAAATATTCTTTATAAGAGATTTCTTGTCCCTCACGTTTGGTGTAGCATCGTTGGAAAACGAAGCTAATAAAATTATTTTAATATTTTTTTTTTTATTTTAAAATATATAAAAAAATTTTAGTGCAAAATTAATCTACATTTTAAACAAATATTTTCATTACTGTAACAATTTTAAATCACTTATATCAAAGTTGTAGTGTAGTGAGATAACATTACAAAAAAAAAAACTAAAAAAATTTAATAAATAATAAAATTTCATAAATAAATTCAATAAATAAAAATTTAATAACTTAAATTTTCAAATATGCAATATCTTATTATAATAGTATTTGTGATTAACGTTTTAAATTTTTTAATTGAAAATCGTTCTCTCTAACAAATAGGCATTCTATATATCCTATATCAAGGAATTTAATATAATAATTTAATTCCAATTTTCTGAATTGGATGTTATAGGAATAGAAAATTATTCATGATTATAAAATTATGATCTACATTCTTAGTTGAATTAATAAGTTTTCTTATACAGAAGTATTTTACTACAATTGTAATTTTTGCTAATATAACAAATCCTGCTTCTAAACGAATAATCAGTTTCAAACATAAAATATAAAATATTATTGCAACATATGTACAAGTTTAAGAGTTGGAATATCAGAAATTTGGCTTCCCATCAAAATATATATCATTTTCAAACAAATTACTGCCCATGTGAATGTTGTTGAAACAAACAAATAAAGCCCTGTTTTAACACTCTTACTCAAATAAGGGCTGTTCTGTATAAAAACCCGTAAAAAACGCAGCAGGATATAATTAGCTTCTTCTGATAATTGAAAGAAAAAAAAATATAATAAATTTTAATTTGTGATCGTTTTGATAAATTACGTTCTTTATGCATTTAATAGATTTCCCTTTTGATAAATTAACCCGGTAAGTTTTATAAGTAAGTTTCTTAAAGCTTAGTTAAAAAAAATTATTAAAAAACAAATGAATTAAGATATATATAAAAAAAATAATGAATCAAAATACAAATGTGCTGTTACAGTCATTATGCAAGTACTTTTGAATTCAATATTTAGCTTTAATGGTTTTTACTTAAATTAATAAATTTAGTCTTATTTAATTTAACAGCACTGTTGCACTTGGAGTAACTGCGCGGGATATTCAAAAAGTCACTGACTTATCAAACCGCCCTCGTAATAAGTTTTCTTCCCACATTCTCTTAAAACTACAGATAACAAATTGGAAATTAAATATAAATAGAATATATTAAATACTTCTTACAACGTCATATGCTGATAATTAAGAGAAAATGAATCATACCAAACTACTAATTTGGGTTCAGAAGATAAAATTCGACAATTGAATAAATTTATAGATTTTTTGAAAAAAACCATATTACATTCGAGTATGACATCAAGGATTGCTTTTTAAAATCAAAAAACTTTTGCCTCTAAACTATTATGTGTTCACAAAATCTTGTTTCTTGAAAAAACTTTTTTATGTAAAAAGCAAAAAAGAAATGTCTTTATTACATGATATTGAAGTGGACGGTACATTTTAAACATGCATTAACCATTAATGAATGAATGAGTGGGTTAAAAATAAGAAAAAATATAATAATCATACAGAATTCTATTGTCAAGCAATGTGGGTCCCATTTCTGCTACAGACATCTTATATAAAAATCTATGCATTTCGCCCATTATTTCCATTTAGTTCCTCATATTGCAGTTAAATCAATTGACTGTTGGCGTTTTGTTAACCACCGTAAACCCATTAGCTACGGTTTTGTGTAATCCCATAAGTGTCAACCTTGTTGCACATATTTACTCCTATGCAAATACGAATTGTAAACGAGATTGTTTGTGTAACTGTGTAAAATGACTGCAAAGAATTGACATTTGTTTTTTGTCTTACTAAATAAATATAACAAAATAAAATATTATTTAATCAAATTATAACGATTATAAAGTAGTTGATAATATCTGGACAAATACTATAAATAACTATAGCCCTTCGAAAGAGTAAGGTTCGTATTCGCGTTTGAAATCCAAATGCAACGGCTGTAGCTCTTCCATAAATTGTAAATTCAAAATAAAAACAAGAAAATATGTTGTTCAAAACATAATTCCCAATATTTTAGATGTTTGTTGGAATATCAAAAAAAAACTGATTTAGACTGAATTGCATAAAACCATACTGAATTGAATTGATCTGTTCAGATATGGAATGAGGGAAGTACATAGATGGACGCACATTCTGACAGCTGTCACAGTGTGCCAATTGTGTCCACAGAGAATTAAGCACACTTCAAAAGGGGTTAATTGTACAAAAACCTCAAACTAATCGGCCTAAGTATATACACAAACATACTCATTCACAACTTACAAAGATTATGTCGCCTGCCCCTTTAAATTATTTATTGAAATGACTTCTCGAGACTTTTAAAATTAGATTCCTTTTTTTTTGTGTTCTGCTCATAAATAGATTTCATATTTAAATAAATGAAACCGTGATGTTGATATTTTATTAATTACCATCGTTTTGGGAAAACTTGGATGATTCTTGGTTCACACTTTTATTTATTTATTTTCACGGGAAATTTGTTTGTATTAAATACTCCAAAGTCTTTGAACTTCAAATTCCATTGGGAGCAGTAAATGATATATATTAAGTTGTTGTTATAAATACATGTTCAGGTAAATTTAAATTCAAGAAAAGGATATATAAAAGAGAAAAGAACTTAATGAGTTTAAAAATGTATATTAAAGAAAATATTAAAGATTGAAGCAGTTTTTCAAACTATCTCAATAATACATAGGTATATTAAGAAGTATGTCAAAATACAAAACAAACGTTATCTTTTTTGTGAAATGTTTGAATTTACAACCTTTTATTTAGTTTCAATTAACAGGTGGATATGTGGAACTATCTCATTACTTTTTCATAGACTTTTCATTATCTTTAAAATAAATAATAAAGAAATATGTGTTTTCTTGTATCCAATTTAAACTTAATTAAAGAATATTAAAACGTATTCTTAAGACTTATTCTAGTGATCAGATTATTATTGTAGTTTCGACTATTTTTAAATTCACTTTTAGTAAAAAAATCAAGATTTATCTCTAAAAACAATATTTCATGGCGATATTGTAATGCATATCTTATTTGAGAGAAATGCAGGTTTGGGGAGTAATGTAGTTTAGTTGTCCGTACTCATCGAAAAAGTAACGTCAGGAGGTTTAAAATAAACTTTGATCTACAATAATACATGTGAAAGAAATCAATACTATATAAATTATATCTGAATAAACGGACTTTTAGATCTTGCTGCATTACATAAATTATAAAGAAATACACTTCATGTATGGCTTTCTAGGACTAACTACGGCGTATTTAGTTTTATTCTTACCCAATACATAAAGAAATGGGTAATCAGAGTGATTTATAAAACAGAAAAAATAAATATTTTTTTTCTTAATAATCCATTAATTTACTTTCTTGCCACTTTAAACAATTTTGGAATACTGTTAGAAAATCTTCTGTTTTTTTATCCTTTCTTTATGATATATGTTCGATTCATTCTTAGAAGTTTTGTTTTAGAACAATAATAATGAAAAGACGTAAGACATCCACTTAAGTATAGAAAATACAGTATATTATTACTGCGTTAATATATTGATGGATTTATTTATTTAATTTGACAACATATTACCATCAAATGCACACTAGTTCTGAAACCCTATGCAAAAATCAGAAAGCTTAATATAATATAAAATTTATGTCAACACTACAATTTATCTGTAAATAACAAAATAGTTGCAGGTCATTGCTGTGCAACGTTTATATATCTGATTTTTACATTACTAATTCAAAATTATCTAAGTATATACTTATCTACTATAACTTTTATCAAAGTTTTTTAATACAAAATTATCATTAAATCAATTTAAATAAACTGTCTTTGAATTAAAGATTCACTAAAAATTAAGAATTATTTACATACGCAATCATAAAAATAAAATAATTATTGCTATTTTAGTCATAATTTCGAAACAATGTATTGAAATACATTCACATATTGTACTTATGTGAATTAGTTGTCAGTTAGGATAAAGATACTAACCAAGAAACTAACCAAGATACAAACCATTTTTCTTTGTGCATTTTTTTGATTCCTTCTGCTGTATTACCCGACGGTATATTTGCAGTATTATAAATTGAAATTTTATTAACTTTTTAATAGCTAAAATATTACAATCTTATGAACAAATTAATAGCAAGCCTTCATTTCTGAAATAAGTGGTACATATCTAAAGACATTAGGTATAATAAGAGAATAAGTATATGAAATAACCAAGCATAAAAAACAAAATACTTAAAAAGTTATTTTAACATTTATACCGTAGATAGGTGTCCAAAATGAAGTGCAACCAACTTTAAACTGGTCTAACTTTCGAACTGATAACAACCCAGCAATTATTTGCCACTCAAATTTTTGGAAATAATTTTATCCATGACCGAAATGAAACATAACACTGCGATAGTAATTCGATAGAAAATTGCAGCCAAGAATTACCAACTATGGCGATTATGACACTAATACCGCCCTGCACGTAATTACTACGACGCCTATTACTACTAGGTCCATATGAAATATATTTAGGATGCCAATCTGTCGATTGTCGTTTAATCAGTATTGCTTATTTAGGTCTATGTGTTTTGTAACCTAGTAGCTTAAGGTATTATAAAGTGAAAACATGTATTAAATAATCGTTATAGATTTATTGAGAATGAAAGCAAGAAGATTTTATAAAAAATCTACCGCGCATTTCTGAACCGTACCTATCCACTGATTATTTTAATAGACGTGCAACACCACAATCTGAATAAATCTTCCATGTCTTAAACAATAGAACGCTATAATGGAAGGTTATCTGCTGTAAGACGCTATGATGTTGGTTACACACAAAACAACATCTTCGGGAAAAGTGATTTGAAACAAGAAGCTTTATACCAAAAAAAAATTTATACTACAAATAAAGATAAATAACTGCTCAGCTAAACATATGATAGCTTTTATCAAAATTTCATCAAACATATGAGTTGTTGTGATAAAATGATAATTTTGAAAGGTGTTCTTAAACGACGACATCTTAGGGCTCTTGTAGTCGGACATTTCATGAAGTAGAACAATGTTTTGAAAGGTATTCTAAAATTATGATACCCTAGGGTACTTGAAGACAAGAAAAGGTCAACATTTCATGATTCTTCTCCATGAAAAGTGTTCTAAAGCGTGTTCTGAAAAGTGATCTAAAGAAATGACACCAAAGGGGTCTTGAAGACACAGAGGGCTCAACATTTTATGGAGCAGATTAGTCTTTTGAAAGCCGTTCCAAAGTTATGAACCCACGAGGTTCTTGAAGACTGAGAAATGCCAAAATTTCATGATGTAGAACAATGTTGAATAAATCACAATTATCACAGAGGTAGATTATAACTTTTTTTGTAGATGCTCTCAGCGACTTAGTTTGCGGCAAAGAAACCCGATCAAGAATGTGAATTTTATTGTGTTAATAAATAAATTTTGATTTAAATACCAGTGTTCTGAAAAGTTGTAGTTTAATTTGACCTATCCGTGGGTAATTATTAAGTCACCGTAAAATTAATAATTTATGTATTTTTATCGTTAGTAAAATTTAGACATATAAAACTGAAGCTAATAATATATGTCTTCTTAAGAAATTATAACAAATAATTTGTGAATATTATGCTTTATATTTTCAGCGACTAGTTTTCTCGAAATAATTTATGTAATTAATGTTAATATATAGCAAGATGTTCTAATAATAATTATCTAAGCTACTTTAAACATATGATAAAGATAAAATCTGTTGTATGCTTACTCATTAATTTTATTAGATGTTAACAGTATTACATAGAATTGCACCCGAACTCCTCCCAGTGTATTACTTGAGAGCGCTATCTCTTTTAAACTTCAAGCAGATACTAAATAAATGTAAAGTTCAAAACTCAAATGTATTTTCATAAAGTTATTTCAACTTATTCAGAAAATACCGATACACACTTATCGTCTGGAGTAATGATTTTTGTAGCCAATGACAATTAAATAAATACAAAACCCAGAAGAAAAAAAATTATAAAAATTAAAAAAAAAACAACACCAAAAAACTAAATATAATAAAAACATACAGTCATAGTATCTCAAGATACAAAATTTGTATTAGAATGAAATAAAATTTCCAACAGCTAAACCAAAAAAAAAGAAACATCTGTTATTTCCAGTGGAAATGTCAACCAATCCCTACAATGCATTCATTAACCAATCAAGAGCC